TTTTCTTTTATATTAATACATTTATATATATATTTCTTATATATTAATACATTTCATTATCTTATTTTCATTTTGATTATATTTTTATAATTTATATCAATTTTCTCTTTATATTTATTATTATTATTATTATTATTATTATTATTATTATTATTATTATTTTATTTATATTATATTGATTTTATTTATTATTTTATTTATATATTTTATTTATTATTATATCATTTCTTTTCTCTTATTATTTCTCTATTATTTATTATTATTTATTTTTTATATCTTCTATCTATATCATATGAAATTAATAATTATTATTTATTACATATTATATACTAATCATATAACATTTATAATTGATTATATAATAAACACTGATAATAAATAATGAACATAAATAAAAATCATAAAAATAAAAAAGAATAAAATAAAATATATCAATAAAATAAAGTTAAATAATTTGAATCAATATATTAAACACTTTTTATTTCATATTTCTAATTTCTATAATAAAAATACACTATTATTTCATCATTCTTTTCATCACTTATTATCACTTTTTGAATTATTCCTTTTTTATTTTCTTTCATTTTATATTCTCAATTTTCTTATTCTTTTCATCTTCTTTTACTTCCTAATTTCACTTTTTTCTTTTTTTATATCATTCTTTCTCTTCTTTTTTTCTCTTATTTCACTTTTTTCGTTGCTAATTGTGTTATGAAAATCTCTACAATATTTTAAAGCATCACAATTAAGTATTTTAGATTTAATATTTCTTGTCATAGTTACTCCTTCTTGTATCTTTACTACTTGGAGGAATACATTTCTTTTTATATTTAATGACCTCCATGTGGCTACTGTTAATTTCATATTATTAAATATACAATTTACATTTCTTATATATTCACTTCATTTAAATATCTTTTATTTATTTTATTTGTTATAAATTCAAATACTTTGTTTACATCATGTTTTCTTTCGTTTAACTGTATTATATTCATTAATTCATTGAAATTAATCTTCTTACCAAATGCCCTCTTCATTCTTTTAATTATTCAATTTGGATTCTCTTTTACTGCCTCTATCATTTCTCCTATTTCTGTATTTGATATTTATATTTTAAATATATTCTTATTATTTCTTTACAACATTCATCTCGTGCTGAAATTAATCACATTCCTAATTCATTTATTGTAACATATAATCTACTTTTATTGATGTTTCTACTGTATAGTTGGAATTGTATCAATGCCCTTCTTATTTATTTATCTATATTCTCCAACTCACCAAGTTTCCATTTGACAATACAGAATCCATATCTTAATTTGGAGATTATATCATTATTAATCATTCTTATTGTATTGAGGCTGCTATATTTCATAATATTTAATGATGATAAAATAGAAGATACATCATTTAATATTCATGTACAATATTTATTAATATTTATTTTATCTCTTATTTCAATACCAAGATATTTATAATGATTATCATTAATTACTCTTGGTAGTTCAGCTAATTCTCCATCTATCTGACCATTGATATTATTCATTATCCCACTCTTTTCTATATTTATTTTTAGTCCTATTGCATTAAATATTTCATTTGTTAATTTGTGGGGTTTTTCCATTTCTTCGAGGCTGTTAGTTATTATCTTTAAATCATCAATATGTAATATGTGGTTTAACTATACTTGTTTTTTTTCTCCATTCATTTTAATAGATAACTTATTAATTTGTTTATCTAATTGTTTAGATAATATATCAATAGATAATACAAATAATAATTTAGATAAACTATCATATTGTATTATTCATCTTTCTACATTAATTATACATACATTTTGTTGATTATAATATAATTAGAGTTGTGTAATATTTAATATATATAATATACTTTTAATTACAACTAATGGGATGTTAAAATAAATTAAACATTGTTTAACAAATTGATGATTAATACTATCATATGCTTTAGAAACATCATAATATGTTTCTACCCACTTCCATTTAGCCTTGATTAATAATTGAATGATTATAGTATTGTATAATAATCCTTCTTTTGATAATATGTATATTTTTTACATCCAATTTGATTTTGTGATAATTGTTTTTCAATTGGATTTAACATCAGTTGGCTTTCTATCTTCATCTTTAATAAAGATGTATATACTTTTAACAGACAGTTTAAACAAGTTATTGGTCTGTAATTTTGTGGGTCTAATTTATCTCATTTCTTGTATATTAATATTGTTCTTCCTTGGATAAATTGAAGAGGGATGTTAGTAGGATTATACAAGCATTCATTAAATAATTTTAATAAGAAATTCTTTGGTTGTTCTAAATATTTAATCCAGAAGCATTATATTTTATCAATTCCATGTACTTTCCATTTATCAATAAATTTTATTGCATGATTTAATTCATCTAGAGTGATTACACACATTCTATTATTAATTCTATTTTCAATTAATATTTCATATAAATTAATATTTATGAAATTTATATTGGTGTTATTTTCATAGATTCATTTCAATAAATTAATTGTAGTAATATTATCTGGATATTCATCTTCTTTAGGCTTATTTGGAAATTGTCTCTTTCCATATTTTATCATTTTATAATTCCATCTTATTCTTTTCCAATTATTCTTTCTTACTTCTATTTCTATTCTTTTCATTCTTTGGAGGTATTTGTAATAGTTTATTTGATCATTTGTTTTTATTTTAATAAGATATATATCATATTTTTTAATATGTAATATTCTTTTTATTTTCATATATTGGTTATTGTAGAGTAAATCTCTTAATCTACATATTTTGATTGTAATATTCTTTCTATACTTCTCTTTCTACTTCTTTCTTGATTGTTATTAATAATGATGTTAATAGTGGAGGTTATAGTTTTAATATAATGGTAGTAATCATCTAATGTATTGATTACTATTTCATTTGTATTAATGATATTAATTATTTGATGTATTTTGTTTTTATTGTAATAATAATTAATAAATTATACATCTTCTTGTTCTTTCATTTCTTATTTATTTATTTATTCTTATTATTTCTTGTATTTCTTCTTTCTTATTTATTTTATTAATTCTTTTAATTCAATATCTTTCAATTTGTGTGTTATTAATTCTTCTTCATTTCTTTTATTGACTTCCCTTTTAATTTCATTCTTTATTTTAAATGTTTTCTTTAATACTTCTTTATATTCATTAATATCTTCTATTTTAATATCAATTTCATGTATTAATCTTTTTATTTCTTCTTCTTTAAGTTGATTTCTTAATTTTATTTCTAATAACTTCAGTGCAAAACATTTATAGAATGTTAGAATTTATTCTTCTCTATTTGTTTGCTTCAATTATTTTTTGAATGTCATGATCAGATGTGATGATCTTCTTATGTTGATTTCATATCTCTTCGATTGAATTCTGATTAACTTTCTTTTTTTGGAAGATCATCTTCGCTTGATGATATTTCATCAGCTACTACCATATTGAGGGTGAGGTTATTCACATTTTGTGTTTCAAATGAATCAGATATAGTGTGATTTATCTCTTCTTCCTTCTTTTCTTCTTGTGTAATTTTATTTTGTAATTTAAATAATTTATCTTTCAAGAAGTACACTTGTTGTGATAAATTGCTTACCTCAGACCTTTTCCTTTCTGATTTAGCATTGAATTCGAATAATTTTCTATCAATTTCTTGTTTTTTAGTGTTTATCTCCTTCTCATGTTTCTTCTTTAATGACATAATGTCATTTGATAATTTATTAATGGTCTGGTCATTCTTTTGTATTTCTTTTTTCATTTCTTCTTTCTCTTTAATAGCCTCTTCTATTCTTTTCTTTAATTCTTCTATTCTTTTATCTTTTTCATTCTTCTTTTCTTCTTCTTCTTTTAATTTCATCTTTTCTTTTTCATTATACCTCTTCTTTTCCTCAGTAATTTCATTTTTATCATCATTTTCATTATTGTATATTTCTTATTTAAGTATTTATCATTTATTTCTTTTTGATTTAGTTTGTCATCTTCTTCATTTGTCATACTGATCGTTTCTCCATTCTATTCATTTTTGTTTTTTTTCTCTTGCAAGTAAATACCATCTTCTCATTATTGTTGATTATATTCTTTAATCTTAGTGTTCTTAATTTATTCTACTTCAAGTGGTGTAAGTATTTTAATTTCTTCTTCAAATAATCTTTTCAAATATTCTTGGTTTTGTATTTCTATCATTTCTTTTCTTTTATTTATTATTTGTTGTTGTTTTTTATTATGGTATTGTTTATATCTATGATGTGTTTTATCATGTGATTTATTTGTATTATAATATTGATTGATTCTATTTGAATTATTGATAAAATACTTATGATGATGAAAATGAATGAAATGATAAATGAAATGATTCTTACCATTATTATTATAATTATTATGATAATTGTTATGGTGATATATATTATTATGGTAATGATTAATGTGATGATTAATGTATTTCTGTCCATACAGATAATATTTATTTTCACTCATTTTTCTATCATTTATATTTCATGGATGATATGGATTTCTCCTTCTTTTGTTATTGATTTTATTATATTTTGTGTATGATTCAAGTGATATATCTTGTTTATTCTAATTACAAGAAGAAATGATAAGAAGATAAAAAGAAAAACAAATAATTATTCATCAGTATACCTACAATAAAAAAAGGAAAGAAGAATAAAAAATAAAGAAATTGAAAGATAAAATTGAAAGATAAAAGAAAATGAATTAAACCACAGTAGGCCAAGATTTAATCACTAATAAAGGATTAGTTGGTTGAGAAGGAAAAGGGATTGGTTTTTTATTTTGAGGAATTTTTGGTAGTTGATTTCCTTGATTTTTAATTTCTAGAGCGATTTTTTCAGCTAATTCATCTAAACCATGTTTTTTAGCAGCAAGATATGATAAATTTAATTGACCAGCATCAAATAAAGATTTAACTATTTGAACTTTGTTTCCACTTAATGTTGAACAAGTAAAATGTGCATCAAAATCTCCCCATTTTTCAGTTACCTTTATAATTTTATCTAATTTTTCTAATGCACCACAACTTACATATAAATAAGATGCACGAGTAACATCTTGTGTTTTTTGATAAGCTTTATCAGCATATTCTTGATGTCCAGAAATCATTGCTGCATTTCCTAATGATTTCCACATTAAAGGAGAATCTAATTGTTTACATGCATCAAATGCTGTTTCTAAATTAAGACATTTTAATGATAAATCTGCTCTAATTTGTGGGTCTCTAACACATTGTAATGCAATTTCAGGTAATCCTTTATTTCTAAGATATCCTACAATATATTGTCCAATAACATCACGTTGTTCTACCATAGAAACAAGTGTTGAATAATCTTTACTAAATACATTAAGTTTAAATAAATATTCATTTGGATTAATTGTTAATAATTTTAATTGTCCTTCTCTATTAACTAAATACATTTTTGGTGGTCTTGCATCAGCTAAATACATAACTGTTTCTAATTGTTTAATAACTCCTCCTTCTCCATTAGGAAGAATATATTTTAAATGACTTGTTGTTGTATAAAACATTGTTTCTCCAAAAAATACTCCACTTTTAACTTTTGCTACTTCATTATTTTTACAAACTACTTCCATTTTATTATTTAAAATAACAATTTGTCTTTTTCCAATTAATCCACAATATTCTCCATATATTCCTCCTGAAACTACTCGTTTAAGTGTTTTCATTTTAACAACTTTAATTACTTTTTGACTTTCAATATCAAAAATAATTGCTTCTTCTTTTGTTCCAAATACAACACTTCCTAAATATGGTCCTTTTACCATTCTTTCTGGTCTTTCTGTTAATGTAATTGATCTAATAACACTTCCATCATATTTTCTTATTGAAATAGTTGATGCTCCTTTATCAAATGCTGCATATCCTTGTTTTATTCTAACACAATATCCTCCTTTAATAGGAATTCCTGTACTTTCTTTTCCATTACTAATATTATATAAATCATGTGAATTTTGTTTAGGATAACAAACAATTATATATTTTCTATTTTCATCTATTACTAAATTTCCAATATATTCATTAATTCCTGCATTACTTCTTTTAGGTAAATTAATTAATCCTGAATCTTTCTTCCCTGAAAATTCAAATACTCTAATTGCTCCTCTACAAAGATAATATAATCTATCATCTGTTTTAATTATTGGTATTCTTTCTTCATTTAATTTAAATATAATCATTCCTGAATCATGTCCACATCCTATAATATTTCCTTTTGGATGAATTCCAATATTCCAAAATCTATCTCTTTCTCTTCTATATGAACTAATTAATGTTCTTTTTGTTATATCCCATATTTTAATTGTTCTATCTTCTGAATTACTTATTAAAATATCACAATTTGACATAAATTGAACACATGAAACAATAGATGAATGTCCTCTTAAACAACATACTTCCCATACTCTTGTATCATTATATTTCCATAATCTAACAGTTTTATCATCTGATGCTGTTGCAATATATTGTTGATTTGGATGAAAAACTGCCCAATTTACTCCTAATTGATGTCCATCAATAATAAATTTAACTACTCCTTCTCCTCTTTCTTTTAATCCTGAAATATCCCAAACTCTTACTGTTTGATCTAATGATGCTGAAACAATTAATGGAATATTTGGTTTAGGATGAAAAAATGCTGACATAACATAATGTTCATGACCTGGTAAAATTAAAATACATTGTCTTGACATCCAATTCCATATTCTAATTGTTCTATCATCTGAACTTGATATAATCCATGCTTCACTTGGATGAAATTGAACTGTTCTAACATAATCCATATGACCTGTTAATTTACATATTTCTCTATGTTTAGTATAACTCCATACAATAATCATTGTATCATCTCCTCCACTTACAAAAATAGGTCTATCTGGATGAAATTGAACACTTCTCACTGGTCCTTTATGTCCTTCATAAACATGTAATAATGTACGTGTTCTCATATCCCAAAGTTGAATTTTTCCATTATGTAATGATGCTAATACCCAACTTCTTGTTGGATGAAATGAAATTCCTTTAACTCGTGCTGTACGTGTTTCAAATGATGGGTTTACTCTTAAACTCATTTTCTTATATTTTTAAGTTCATTATTTTTTTTTTTTTCTTTTTCTCTTTTATAATTTTTTTTTTTTTATATAATCTTTAAAAAGTTCTTTTTAATTTAAAAAATTAATGACAGAATGTGCATATGGACATTTAACTGTTTACCAATTATTAGAAGTTGGAAATTATTTTATTAGAACTAATGATTTTTTTAATTTAATGATGGTATGTAAAAAATTTAGAACATTAACAGAATTATATAAATATAATCCTATAGATGATTATCATATCTTTCCAAATATTATAGAACAACGTTTTTATCATCGTCTTCCAATATTTTTAAGAGAAGAATCATTTAGAAAAAAACCTAAAATGAAAAAATATACAAATGTTTATCTTACATCTCATTTAGAAGCATTAAAATTAAAAAATAAATATGGAATTGATTCAATTAATACAATATATGATAATGTTGATTGTGAACATTTTGGAATGAAAATACCAAATCATATTCATAGACTTGCTGATAGATGTTTTCAAAATGGAATGGCACTTGATATTACAAAATATGTTATGCCAAAAACAATTTGGACTATTGGACAACAATGTTTTTTAGGATGTCCACATTTAAAAGAAGTAGAATTTACTAATCCATGTTTTTTTCTTCCACCACATGCATTTGATACAATGAAATCACTTACTAAAATAGTATTAAAAGGAATAGAAGTAATAGAACAAAATACATTTGAATGTTGTGAAGGACTTAAAGAAGTATTTATTCCAACTACTGTTACAAAAATTGGAGATTTTGCATTTTCAGAATGTAGTTCATTAATTCATATTAATATTCCAACAACAGTTTATTCTATAGGAACACAATGTTTTTATAAATGTAAATCATTAGAAGAAATTATTGTTCCATTTAAAATGAGAAGTATTCCTCATATGTGTTTTGCATATTGTAAATCATTAACTAATATTCAATTTTCTCCTTTAGTTACTTCATTTCAAGATGGTGCTTTTTTATATTGTTGTTCTCTTAAAGATATAAAAATACCATTAGGATTAACTTCTATTGGAGTTTCTTGTTTTATGGGATGTAGTTCATTAAGACCAATATCATTTGAACTTAAAAAAAGTATAAAAAAAGTTGGAAAAGATTCATTATTATTTAATATTAAAGAAACTGATATTAAAAAAGAAGGTGGAAAAAATGGAAGAAATTTTATTGATATTTCATTATTTCATTTAGATTCTGATTCTGAATATATAATGAAAAATTCTATTATTACAGAACCTATTCCTATAAACAAAATTTATCCAAAAATTAATTAATTAAATTTTTTTTTTTATTAAATTAAATTAAATTTTCTTTTTTTTTTGTTTATTTTATTTTGTATTATTTTTCATTAATACTTGTTTCAAACCATTGTTTACAATTTTTAATAGCATTAATCCATTCATCTCTTTGTTTTAAATCATTTGCAATAAATATATATTTTTCAACTAAAAAAGCATTTGGTTTTTCATATTTTTCTTCAATAATAATACTTGTTGGTTTTGATATTAATAATATTTGAATTGGTGATGATTCATTTGATGATTTATATAAGAAGAAAAAATTATCTTTTAAAATAACATAAACTGTTTTAAAATTTTTTGTTTTTTCTTTTTTATCTAATGAACATAATAAATTTCCACTTTTTTGTCCATTAATTGTTTGACTTGTTAATTTTCCATATAATGTAATTGCAAGACTTTCTATTCCTCCTTTTGATTTACAAAATGTGTCTTGAATTTTTAATAATTGATTTTCAAGTTTTTGATTTGTTATCATTTGTTCTTTAATTTTATTTTGTAATTCTTCACTTTCTGGATGATTTATTCCATTTCCTTTTTTTGCTAAACTCATAACACTTTCTCTATATACTTCATCTTTTACTTTAGCAACTGTTTTATATTCTGTTTCTGTTCTTTCTATTTCTTTTTCCATTTCTTTTATAAAATTTAAACAATTTTCTTTTGTTTCTTCTATTATATCTTTATTTTCTTCTATTTCACTTTTAACTTTACTAAGTAATGTTTTTGTTGTTTTTAAATTAGTTAATTCACTAATTTCTTGATATGTTTCTTCATTTATTGCTTTTAATGTTGGACATTCTTCAATAAACTTTTTTATTTTTTCACTTTTTATATTATAATTTTCATATGGTACTTGTTCTTCTAAAAACTCTACTAATATTGTTTTATCAAGAACTTCACTTTCCTATTTATGTTATTATTTCTTTTATTATTTCTTAATTTATTAAAAACAAACACAAAGATTATCTTTAATCCATTCATGTACAAATATCTCACTAATTTTACACCTTTTCTTTGCTTCTTTTTTAAGACATTTTCCAAGTAAATTTTTTAATCCTTCACTTGATTTCTTTGGTAATGGTATTTTTGCATTCCCTTCTTGAAATATTTTTATTAATTCTGCCATTTCTGCAAATGGTGCTGTTCCATTCATCATTTCAATAATAATAACTCCTAATCCCCATACATCCCAACTTTCTTTAATTTCACTATTTCCACTAAATATTTCTGGTGGTGCTATTTCTATTAATCTTTTTCTTTTTGATTTTCTTTATTCTAACAAACCAAATGAAGGTCCAGCTGCTTTTTCAAATCCTTTAGGAAATATCCCAAAACATTTCACTTTTCCTTCTAAATTAATAAAAATATTTCCACTTCGTAAATGTCCATAACTAATCCCATTTAATGAAAGGTATTGAAGAAGATTTACAATTTGAATCACTACTATCTGAACTGTTTCTTCATTAAATCTTGTTGTTGAATAAATGTAATCACTAATTTGTCCTAATCCACAATATTCAACAACTAATATACATTGATTATCTTCCCTAATCACTTCTTCAATATTTAAGATATTCCCTTGATTTAATTTCTTTTGATATTCAATCACTTCCTTTATTGTTATTTCTTTCTTTTCTTTTTTAAAAAAAATTATTCTTTTTTTTTTATTATTTGGTACTAATCAAATTAACAAACTTCCCATTTCATTGTCACAAATGGTGGGTACACTTGTATTAAACTTACTATTTTCTTACTTTCATTTTCCATTGCTGAATATATAAATCCTGCATATGTCTGTCCAAGCAATAATCCTCGTTGATACTTTCCTATTGTGTCTGGTAATTTTTCAATTGGATAATCAAAAGGATCAGAACTATCAAAAGTTGTGTTTTCCATTCTTTGCTTTTTTAAGTTTATTTTTGGAATTTCTTTTTTTTGTTTTTTTTTAACTCAAATAACATTTCATGTGATATAAATAGAATCTGCTATTTGAATTATGTTTATTGATAAATTGTTGTTATTTCATTATTTCTTCCCTTATCTCTTTTTATCTTCTTTTATATCTTAGAACTTTGACACTTCTGATAAATATACTTACCTTATTATACCTAAAGAGGATTTTCTATTTCAAATATGTTCCATTATTGTTGGGTATCTTTTGACCATTATTTATATATCACTATCAATTATGCACCTGATTATTTCGTTGTTTGGTGTTCCTCATTTCAACTGAGCATTTATCATTAAATAGAAACCAAACAACAACCTCAATAATTCAATAAGAGTCTGATCTCAAGAAAAAAATCACTTTTATCGTTTATGACTTACATTCTTTTTTTTGATAAAAAACAATAAATAACATTCCAATCCCAAACTATAATTATATAAACTAACTTTTCTTTAATATAAAATATATAATAACAACAATCAAAAATTAAAATAAAATTCGGTGTTTATACAAACCAAAACGAACTTATTTAAGTCGATAACCATCAGTAACGGAAACACCTTGTTTAAATATCAATAAAAATAATCTTAATATATACATAATTAAATATTTTATATTCCTTTTTGGCTATATTAATATCCAACAATCTTTCAAATATCAATAATACTCAAAAATATTAAATGTTTCAAACGCTACATCTATTTAAATTCAATTACTGAAATTTGTATAAGACTATTTGTAGCAGTTATTGTTCTTCTCCAAATCGTAAAGGTATAATACCAAAAATATTGAAAAATTAATTAAAATGAAGAGTTATAATCACTCAATAGGATCTTCGAAATACAAGGCAACTTTGTTTGTCAACTCTAAAAATAATACACCCTCTGTTCATTTTGTTTTTGTACCAATGACCATATTTTTAAATGGACACTTTGAGAGTTTAAGCTTCACCAATATTCCTAAATATCATTAAACAATTCTTCTTCATTATAAGCCATTTCTTAGACAATTTCTTTTATTCTAATATTTCAACGTATCACTGTTTAGTGACAAATTTTAAAGTTAGTACAACTTTTTTATTGTCATGATGTCCTTCTACTAACCTGCTAACTGGAATTACTCTCTAAAATTTAATAGAACTATTTTTTTATAAAACTATTAAATTGTTATTACTTTTTCTTTACTCAGATTTTATTTATTGAAGACGATAATTATTAAAAGTAAATGTTTAAAATTATTAAAACAAGTCTTTGGTGACATTTTAATGAGTGATAAAAATGCTTTTGATCTAAGAACCATTCTATCAGTCCTAAAACTAGAAATTGACACCCCATTCGAGTAATAAAGATTTTATTGAAAAGGGTTAATTGAAAATTATTAAATTCACGTTATTTTTAATGTAAAGATTTTAAAAATCTATCAGATAAAGAGAAGAATATGACGTTGATTAGGCATATCCTGAAATGAATATGTTCAACACTTAGTTCAACACTTTTGTTGATATTTAAAGTAGTTGAGAAAGATATTATTTCTTTGAATTCGTTATCATTTACCTATTCTAAATAACTTAATATTGAAGAATTTTATTTAAATCCTTTTAATTTATCTAATCTTTTTTAAATATAACTAATACCCATGCAAGTAATAAAACAGTAAAAGGAAATTAATTACTAAAATGTTAGTTTGTCAAAAAAATTCTATAACTCAAAATCTCCTTTTTTCTTTCTATTTAACACCTCAATATACGTGATTCAAGTTAGTACCTTTCTCTCTTTTGAAACAATAATAGTCAAAAAAATAAAACTAATTTACATAAGAATAAGATTAATTATTGTTGGATGAAGTTTATATGCCCATAAAGGGGTTGTTATAGTTAGATCAAAAATTTATATTTCAAAGCTCATTCTTTATTTAATATTCATTATGATTTATGTTTATTACAAAGTGTATGTGGAAGTTATGTTAAAAAAAGTAAAAAAAAATGAAAAGAGTATACAGCTTGAACCTATCAAAATACACTGCAACTTACAAACAATTTACAAATGTCTAGAACTTTAGACTCCTAATATTCAATGAAGTACCATATCTTGTTATAGTATCAAAAATAAATTCTGGTCTAATTATAATTAAAGTACATCTAATTTCAATACACATAAAAACCAATATGTATAATGAATAATTAATAAAAAAACATATTAAAAAAAAACAATAGAATATCACAAATAACAGTATGATATTAAATTTAAATATATTTTGTTAATTAAACAAAAAGATTTATGGAACCAGCATGTTTTTAATGAAATAAACAAAGGGAAAATAAATGAAGACCTCAAAAGAAGAAATACAATAGTATCATATAATTATAACTAAAATTTAAGTTATATTCTAAATATTATCTATATGATTATAATAAGTAAAACCTTTTTACTAATTTTTTAACACATGGTATTAGTTAATAACTTAACTGTATAGAGAATATTTTGTAATAGTTATCAACAAAAAAACTCAAAAAAGCATCTGACTTGAAGGAAAAATACCAATCAAGTCACAATATAAACTCATTCTCCAACAGTCCTATGAATCTGACCACCCCTTTGTCTTTAGAAGTTATTGAAACAACGATAACCATATTGTAATAACTCCATAAAAAGATTTTTTATCTTTGCTCAGTCTGTACTAAAAATAACTGACTTTGGATGATTAATAAAAACATAACACTTTCATCTGTTAATAATTTCTAACTCTTTACCAAACACTATTTAATAACCTCAAAATAACTCCCGCAAAAGATGATGACAGAAATAAAAGTATTCTAAGAATTTGAACGTATCTATTAATCCCTCAAACATATAAAAAGAAACATATCTCTAGTAACTTGGAAATCATAAAAATCCTTATTTTGGGTTATTCGATATAACACGTATAACCTACGATATCAATACGTAGATTATACATCATGTTATTGATAACACAAAAACTAAAAAAGTGAAAAAGTAAACTAATGTTGTGTGTACCTTATAAGAGAAGGTTTGAAGACGAAGAAGATGAAAATCAAATTCAACGTAACCAAATTCAATTCCATATGATTAAAATGTTTCCAATGTTAAGAAGAATGAAGTTTGATGAATCATTTTTACAAGGAAAACGATATGTTGAAGACTTATCTACAGAAGGTGAATTTCAGAAACAAGAAAAACAACCCATCAAAGAACAAACAATTGTGCCAATGGAAGTGTATCACCCAACAGATTGGAAACCAAAAATGATTAAAGAATTAGAACATGTTGAGTATCAACCTAACCCATTATTAGATAGAGTTTTTTGGAAGAAACCAACTAATGCAGTGATTGTATACCAAGAACCAAATCATTGTGTAAAACAAATGATTAACTCTAATTTAAATACTACTCAAAATACTCCATCTAAGATGATGGATTTATGTTAATAATTGATTGATTATTTATTTATATTTTTTATATCTTAATTTAATATGTCTCATATTTTATTTACTAATACTACTAACTCACAACCAATTTATGGACAACTAACTGCATCAACAGTACTTTATATTAACAAAGGAAAAGATCTCTTTCTTATTGATTGTGGAGAAGTTTGCTAATACAAAAAGTTATATATTTAATTATTTTAACAGTTAAAATTCATTAATCTTTTCAGGGAGTGGCAAACCAATTAATTCAAATGAAAGTCCCAATTGAAAGGATTCGTGGAATTATAATAACTAGTCCACAAGCTAATCATTCGAGTGGAATAGGGGGACTTGTTCATATTATTTTATTTTCAACTAAAGGAAAAGTTTGATTTATTTACTTATTTCATTCTACACATACCCTTCAGAAAGTTAAATTATTTAGATTACAATTGTTGGACCTAAAGGAATAAAGGTGTTAGTTGACTCTTTATTTGAGTATTGTAGAGAAAAGTCTCCTGATTCAATTAATTATATAGAATTAAATGTAACAGAGATAAACCAATTTAGTATATGCAATGTTCAATTTACTGTTATTTCTTCAGTTCGTCATAAATCAATACCAAACTATGGAATTATTTGTCAAATAAAAAACAAGCAATTAAATCAAAAAACAATTGCAATGTTTAATGGAGATATAAGAGACTTTTTTCCAATGATAAATCATATTCAAAATAATAAAATTCAAATAGATGTATTAGTGTGTGATTATAAAGCTAATCAAACCAACAAAATTCAAAGAAAACGTGAATATCCAGCTCCTAACATTATCTCTAGTATTGTTAATAATGATATTCATCCTAGTAAATTTGTCATTCGTTGCTATTCTTCAAAATGTATAAAAGAAGAAATTAATGAAATTATAACTCATGTCCAAAATGAGATTCAAGTTCAAACTTTAATTGCATATAATGGAACTCATGTAACATTATATTAAAAAATAACTGAAATACTTTTTAATTGTTAGTAAATGAATAAAACTGTAGAAAATAATTCTTTCTATATAAATCAATAGAAAATTGTGTTTAAATAAACAATTTTTTTTCAAACTTACAAAAATCTTAAAAAAAAAAGATAAAAAATTCAAACAAAGATTATTTATAGATATATTATTAAATAAATTCAAATTCTAATGATGTCTGAGTCATCATTTAATGTAAATAATGGTTATGTTTTTATTTTGAGTCATATTTAGCTTGGTCTAATTCTTCGTTGTCTTCACAAAATACAAAATTGACACATAAACACTTAGAGTATTTGATTCATAAAACATATAAATTTATAATGAATTGAAAAATATAATGAATTATACTCTTAGAAAAATAAAAGGGTGGATAAAGAATTTTATTATTGTAAAAACAGAAATGTGTTTTGAGTAATGTTAACAATAAAAGTTGAATATTATTGTTTATCACTGATTATGCTCAACAAGACAATTAATCTAAGACACTAAACTAACAAATCTCAGGTAAAGAAGTAGTACTAAAACACGATGAAAACAGCTCAGTTTCATATTGTAGGACAAGAAATAACAAGAAGAATATCAGGCGATAGAAGGTATATAAATTGATGTAACTTTCAATCAAAGAATAACAATATAAAAAAGATCATTTAAACACATTCAAAAAACTAAAATAAAATAATGTTGAAGGAAAAGGGGGGTTAAGGTTATTATGAGATAAATTAACATAACAAATAATAAAACATAGAACGAAGAAAGATTAATGAATATATAAAAAAGAATAAAACCAAAACTAAAATCTTAGAATTATCAAAAGATAATTATCAAATTAAATAGTGGTATATAAAACAAAGAATTAAATGAAGTTTGTTAAGAAAAAAATTACGTCTGACCACGTTCAATAAACTAAAAAAGGAAGAGAAAGAACTTAAAAAAATGAAATGACCAAAAGAATTACAGGAGAATTTGCTAAACTTCAAAAGAATAAAGAAGGTTGGTTTACTGTTGGAACATATTCAGACGATATTTATCAATGGAAGGTAATAGTTAATGGACCAGAAAATAGTCCATATGAAGGTGGAAAATTTGAAGTTAAAATTACCCTTCCTAAAGAATATCCACATAAACCACCAACATTGGTTGTAATGACTAAAGTTTATTCACCAATTGTTAACCCTGAAGACCATACTATTTGTCATCCAATTCTCCAAACTGATAATAAACCAGGAAATTGGGCACCTACGTCATCAGTCTATGAAGTTCTTGTTGCATTTAGAAGTATGCTTGGATCACTTTCTACTGATCACGTAACAAATACTGAAGTTGCTCAAGTTCTTGCAGAAAGACCAGAAGAATTTAAGAAGACAGCCAGAGAATGGACAAAATTATATGCTAAATAAAATAAAACACATTTAATTTACAAGCATATTTATCATTTGTATTTATTTTATTAATCACATTTAAATATAATTGTTTATAATAACATTACAATTATTAGTATTATTATAATTTCTCTTCCTACAACTCCATTTGTTTTAGTTTGATACATCTCTTTAGTATTATGAATACATTTTCCTTGTTCATTACAACTAAACCCTGATCGACAATAACCACAAAGATGTGTACAGTTAATATGATCAGAATTTACCAATTGAGAAGGAGGAGTACATTCCTTTCCATTACAATAATAACTTTTAATCTCACAAAAAGACTCTGAATTTGTTTTAGTTTGAACATCTAAAACAACATGAAGAATATCCACTATAACAGAACCTGATTCAAATTTATAATAAATTGCATTGTTTGTCTTTGAACATCTCGTGTTTCCAATAAATACAACAAGTCGAACTAAAACACAACTAATTGAACCTCCACATTTACTACAATCTTTAGTTCTTGAAGTGCAATCAGAAGTAGTAAAAGGAAGTTCTGTTATATTGAATGAATGAAGTTGACAAGCAAAGTTTAAAGAATAACTAGGTGAAATAATCACAAGTCCTCCACGAAGAAATTTATAGTCACTATTAACAACTAATAAAGATGTATACGATTTGAACACTTTATGAAAATTAAATGGAGACGCAATTTTATAACCAATAAAGGTTGTTGGAGTAAAGTATAAAGGTAAGTTATTTAATACCTCCACTCTATCTTCTAAGAAGAATCTTTTCCATTGATATCGTTGGTCATAAGAATTTGAGTCATCTTCTGGAAATACTTTTTCTGTTGGGAACCACTGAAAATCTATACTAGGTGCTGGATTTATAAAAGCATTTGGAACGGAACTTTGAAGCATACCCACGTGAGTTAAATTAGGTTGATAAAAAGTAAATTTTGTATCGCTTAGGGTTACTAAGTTTAATCGGTTTACTGAGTCTAAACAAACAGTAAAGGTTCCATTAATATTTATATTTATTGTTGTAGTGTTCCATGTCATATAAATAAGAGTTTCTGTATTATACACAGGTATAATATGAGAACATCCATTTTCTCTTTGAAGTACAACTAATTGAATTGGAAGAGTCTTAACAGGATAAGGACTCATAACAACTGGGACAAAAGTACTTTCAAAAATATTCCATGATAGTAATTCATAAAGACTAAGTGAAGTAAGTATTGTTCTATTTACATCGTCTTCTGTAATCCCATTAGTGTAATTTGTTTCGTAACAACCAGAAAGGAAACAAATTGCTTTTTGTCCATTTGCTCCAGTGAGTTCTAATTGAACTCCACAATAAGGAAATTGTATATCTCCAATTCGATCATAAAAAAGGTTTTTATGAACAAAACAAATTTGTGGGAAGTAATTATTTTCAACATTTAATTGTCCATGACCTAGATAGCAATCAAATGAAATATGAGATAACCCAGAAACGCTATTTAAATTTGTACCAACGTCTTGATATTTTTCAATCCTCATCATAGACTATATGATTTGTTAATTATTTATTTAGTCCTAAAAAAAATTTATGTTTGAGAAAACAAACTGCTTTTCTAACAACACCTAAAACATTGATTATAAATGTAATGAAGATAAGCATACAAGAATTTTTTAATTTTATAGATTTCTTATAAATTACTTAAAATTCTTTTGATTATCAAAAATTGAAAGATTTGATTTATTTTATGTTATTTAGATAATTTTTATTTAACAAAAAAATTGTTTCAAAAAAGCAGTCAAAATTAAATTATTCCAAATGAGGTTGTGTCAATCTTAAAATTGGTTTCAATTGGAACTCATTACTCTTATCAATACTCAATACTCCTTTTACTCTATCAAATACTCCAAATTTAATATTCATATTACCCAGTGTATTTTCATTTTCATCAAATACCATTCCATATTTTTGGTCAATTAATACAATTACTTCTAATCCATATTGTGGAATATTAACTACAATACCATTTTTCATAACTTTAATTACATAACCATCGACAGTTACTTCTTTATCTTTGAGGAATATTAATGTATACATTTGAGTCGATGCTCTTCCAGCGTGTTGTGCCATTGTATGTCTATGATTAATATTATCAGCAATTTCTTTCATTTTTTCTTTTGACATAGTTAAATCTATTTGGTCAAATCCAATTGCTTGTGCAAGTAATCGGTGTACCATTACATCTGCATATCTTCTAATTGGTGAAGTAAAATGAGTGTAAATTTCAGCTGCAAGACCATAATGTCTAAATTCATTATAAGAGAAATATCCACTAGAGAAATATTTTGCTTGTTGCATACAACGTGTAACTAATATTCTCATAATCCTTCCAACAACAGGGTCTTCATTAGTTCCACATTTATCTAATGATTCTGAAAGTGCTTTAGAACTAGAAAAATCTAATGATTTTCCTTTATGTTTTAATACATTTGCTAACCATTCAAAAGTATGTTCATCTGGTGGTGGATGTCTTCTTAACATAGCACAATGAGGGAATGCATCATAGATTTTTTTAGCTACCCATACATTAGCAAGAAGCATATACTCTTCAACCATTGAATTAGTTTCATATGTTTGATATTCTTTAACTCCAATTGGATTAAATTGTTCATCTTTTTCAATTTTAATTTCACTTGAAGCCAACATTAATGCTCCTGCGTCAATTCTTTTTTGTTTTAATTTTTTAGATAACATTAACATTACACGTAGTTGTTGTGCATATTCACTTTGGTTACTCTTATCATCAATTACTGCTTGTGCTTGTCCGTATGCATATGCTCTGTATGAATGAACAATTCCTTTATGATATGTACAGTTAATAACATTAGCATTTTTATCTAATTCCCAAACAACAGAGAATGTTAGTGTATCAGTATTTTGTGTGATTGAACAAATAACTTCTGTTAATGGTTTTGGTAACATATCAATTCTTCTATCAGCTAAATAAACTGTTGTTCCTCGTTTAGCAGCTTCTTCATCTAATGCTGTATGAGGTTTAACAAAACATGACACATCCGCAATATGAACTCCAATTTCATAATTTCCATTAGGAAGAATTTTACAATGTAAAGCATCATCAATATCAGTACATCCTGGTGGATCAATTGAGCAAACATTTTCTTTTCTAAAGTCGTATCTCCCTTTAAGGTAATCGTCAGTAATTTCAAATGGTAATAATGGAAGACATTTAAGTACAATTTCAGGAAATTCATAATGGGGAATTTCATGAAGTTCTAAAATAGCTTCTGTTTCACTTGCCTTATCTCCAACATTACCTAATGTTGCAACATAATGACCTGTTGGATATTTTGATGTTGTATCCCATGCATCGATTAAAACAAGAATTCTTTGAGAAGCTAATTTAGCAGGGTCTCTAGCTTTAATTCTGATTGGTGGAAATCTTTTATCTGTTGGAAGGAATAATAAATTAGTAGAATAATTACCACTACTTTCTTGTTTAATATAACCAGGTAAAGGTTTCCAATTTCGTTTAATAATACCAACAATTTTTCCTGTAGGTTTTCCTTCTACTTCCATTGCGTTTTCCATGTGAACTGTATTATTCATTTCCTTTTCATTCTTTTCATAGTCATCGTTAATAGTATTTGATTCTTTTTTCCATTGGTCTTTAGGAAGTATTTGTAATGCAACAATATCTCCTTCTACAGCTCGATTAATATCTTCTAATCCACTTACTAAAATTTCTTCCTTTTCTGTAGTATAAACAGTTGCTTCTTTGAAATTGAATCTGTTCATTCTAACACTTCCTTGGACTAATTTTTTCTCGGAAATTAAACGAGTTATTTCTTCTTTTGTTAGATGATTAGGATAAAACACTGTTGTTCCTTGTGATGTAGTAGTATCAGTAATTCTATCACGTAATATAGTATCGTTTGGATAATACTGTTCAATAAAATCAATAAACGTCATTGTATGTATTCCTGCATTAGTATAATCTTCTTTTAATTCTTTTGAATTAGTAACAAATAAGACAGATGATCCATTTAATGAGTAATGTTTATTTAACCAATTTACAGAAGTGATATAAGCTCTAAAATCTCTATGAATATTTGATTCTTCATTTTGTGCAATGACATAAGTCTCTCTAAAAAATTCATTTAAAAATAAGAACACAGCACGATCTTCATTTGCAATAATATTTCTCACTTTTTTATAAATAGCTTTTGAATTGCTTGCAACATAATTTAATGCAGTTTGAGGAATAATAAAATCTGTTAAACTTTCTGTTTGTAGTGCGTCAATTTGATTAAGTAATACAGTGTGATCAAACATAGCATATTGTGTTTTTCCAATTAATGGTAAATTTGTTTGGTTGCAAGTAGCACATTTCCTTAACCCACAAGCAATGTCATCTCTTAAGTAGTGTTGTCTCACAATCTTTTCACATCGTGATTTTCCTTTCACAACATATTTTACTTCATTTACACATTCCATCTCACTTTTTGTTTTTTGTAGTTTATTTCTTTTTTTTTAATTTTTAATTTTTTTTTTTATTAATAACAATTATTAAACCCTCAATTTCTCTTTAAAATTGTTGAAGCTTACATGGAAAAATATCTAAAATAAATTTATTGAATATCACATAAAATAATTGTTATAAAAAAACAAAATAAAAAATAAAAAGAATAATGATCGACAATAGAATTAAAAAGAATTTTGACTCAACCGATAGAATAGTCATTATAGCTTTGAGAAATGATTAAGTAAAAACCAATAAATTTTTAATAGTTAATAGATAATATAATTATAGTTTTGTAGAACTATGAATAGAAGCAAGAACTGAAATGAGTCAAGATGTTCTCTTTGATTGTTTTAGCTACATTGGCATTGGCTAAATGTTCACATAAAAATTTTGGACTCTGCTCTAGTCATAACTCTGAAGTTTCATATGACTATATTCTTCATGTTCAAACATGGACTGGACAATTTTGTAAAACACAATGTTGCGATTTACCAGAAACTACAAGAGCATTCCATGAAGGTTTTACTATGCATGGGTGGTGGCCAAATTTTGTAAGTGGATATCCTTCATGTTGCAAGTCACCATATACTGATTCAGATGTTTCAAAATTAATTACAGGAAACTTTAAAGAACAATTGTCATACAACTGGCCATCATTAACAAAATGTAAATTCTTTAATTATGAATATGATAAACATGGAACTTGTTTAAGTGATATTTATAGTGGATCTACAGGACCAAAAGATTACGCTAATGCTGCAATGAATATTCTTATTAAACATGATATGTGGAAGTTATTTAAAGCTAATGGTGTTAAAGCTGATGGTTCAACTAATTATAAAAAGTCATGGTTAAAAGGATTAGTTGCTAAAGAAATAGGTGTTAATGATGCTGTTTATTTCACTTGTAATAATAAAAATTTAGCTGAATTAAGACTTTGTACTATGGTTACTACTTCAACTAAATCTAATCCACAATTTATTACTTGTCCATCTGCTGCTTTTAAACAAGAGACTTGTGGTGATAATATTGTTTTCCAACCACTCCCTTCATTATCAAGCACTGGATGTGATTATTAATTTCACTTTTTACTTTTATTTGATTAAAGTTTTTTTTATATTTTAAATAAAATGAATTTATTCTTAAAAATGATATTTATTTTTAACTTTCTTAATTATAGTTATCCTCCTTCTTCTTTTCAGAAAATTCATTAAAAATTTTGTATACCTCAAAATAGTATATAACAGTTATTTTAGTAGTTTAACTAAATAAATGAAAAACAATTAACCATAAAAATTAATAAAAAAAAACTGGTTATTTGTATAGTCTCATACTATTATCAAGAAATAATCGGTTTTTGTTTTTATAATAAATAATTTTAAAAATGATTTCTTATAAATAATCTATAAAAGAAGAATATTTTAAATTTTTCTTGTTTTATTTAATAACAAACCCAATTAAAAAAATATTTATTACATTATTATTTTTATTTTTTATAAAACAAGATGTAGCTTAATAATGATTCTTAAATTTTTATTCTTTTGGATATTTTAAATGGGATTTAATAAAAAAGTGTTTTAGAAATGAATTCTGTTCATATATTTTTCTCTCTTTTATAAAGAAGATTTGCAAGTAGCACGTCAGAGACACCACACAGAACCCTAAAATATATCCACTCTTTGAATCCCCCAGTTATGGACTGGTTATGACGTTAAGTTTGGTTAGAACAACATCTTATTCAATATTCAAAGAATATTAATGTTTATTATTTACAATGATGGGATATCATTGATAATAAACGAATGGGTATTTATAATGATGGTATTATTACTTAATATGATACAAGTATATTTGTTAATATGGGATTATCAAAGAAAAAGGGTTAATAGTTGATGTTAAAAAGAATATTAGCCCATAGTAATACAGTAGTAATTATATATTCTCCTTAAAAATAAAGAAGAATTTAATACTCATCAAAACCAAACAAAAAATTAAATAATGAATATTTATGTAATAGATGTTTAAAATACTCTATTCCACATCAAAAACGAAAAAATGAAATTGTTACAGTTCAACAACTAAAAGCTAATAACAAGCTACTAATTGTTGAACAAACAATTTTAAAGCAAAGGGACAGAATTAGTCTCCCCTGAGCAATGAACAATTGAAAATATTTTTGTTGACAATTAATTATCTACTTTTTATTCTCTTTTTATAAAGAATAAAAAAGAACAAACCCAACCAATCAGTCAATTCATATATTTTTTTTTTAAGAAAATGAAAGATAATTTAATCTGTTTACCATTTTATAATTAGTACATATTTTAGAATACAATAGCATTCTTTCAAAATATCTTTGGTCATTCATTTCAATATAACTCCCTTCAATACAACTAGGATTTATTGAATACAATTCATTAAATCCACCTTCTAGTAAATACACTTCTTTAAAATAGTATTGTTTATTTCTTTCTAAATCAAAACGTTTAAGTTGACGGGCAAGACTTGGAGCACGAGTCTGAGAAAATTCACAATAAAAAATGATATTACTTTGCATCCTTGATATTTGTTCTAAGTTATTTTTAATATATTCAAATAATAATTCTTGATTCCATAAATTTAAAGCACCTATGACATGTCCACCTTCATATTCATAAGGGTAACGACAATCAATAATAATAGTATTTTTAGTTAGGTGTTTAAGAAAATTTTCAACTGAAATCATTGTAATTTCTTGATCATAATAAAAAGATTGATGATGTGTATCAATAAAAGGATTTATTAAATGAATCTCTTCATTTTCCTCTTCTATGAGAAATTTAGGTGCAGATTTACTTCGCTCAATTTTTTGAGAAGTGTAAGACTGACACCTCTCAGAAGAAGGTTGTACTGACTCATAAAAACTTGATGAAAAAGTTAGAGCTGATATAAGTCTTTGGTTTTTGATGATTTTTTCTGTGTTATTCATGCTCCTCCTTGGTTTAACTAGTTTCATGAGGTAGAATCCTTGAATGATCCATTAGGGTTTTATTTCCTTTTTAATTTTACACAATTCAAGATCTTATTTGTTTTTTTTTGTTTTATAGATCATCTTTGACGTTTTCTTTTTTTAAAAAACAAAATTATAAGTAAATGTTTTTGATATTTAAAATATTTCTTAAAAGAAATTTAATATTCCTTGAAAATAAAACAATTCAACAATATCAAATACAAAAACCAAATCAAATATTGTTAACAATTCAACTGTTAAATAACTTTCATTAGTTAATCATTATAGTTCTAATGTAACTCTCAGTTTTGACTCATTAAAAAATACTTCAAAACCCTTTTCGCAAATGAAAACTCGATTCATTTTAATTTAAGAAAAACCTTAAATGAGTATATCCCAACACCATTCTGAAGAAATTCTCCCTATTACTTTTAGTTCCTATGAAGAGTATTGTGATGAACTTAATAATTTTCTTAGTCAATACGAATATTTATTTGTAAGTAATTCCTATGATGAAAATCATGAATTATTGTCTGCCACTAAAAGCGTTCATTGGATGATAACTGACCATTACCGTAAACTTCCAACTGAATGGATAAAAGAATATTATGAACCATTAGAACATTATCTTAAAAGTCATCCTGAACATTCAAAAGAGGTTTATTGCTATATGATGAATATAACAACTGATATCATGCCATCAATTATTCTTCCATCAAAAATTGATAAAAATATAGTAAATTATTTGGCTTCTAATTATCCTTTACCTGTCTCCCTTCAACAATTTATTGATAATTGTAGAAAATTAACACCAACATTTAAAATTGCTGAAATGGACCGAATTCAAGACCCAACTACAAATAGTTGGTTTGTTGTTAATATTAAAGGAAATTCTCAACCAATTGATTTAAGTCTGATGAAACAAAAGAAAAAATATGAAATTAAATTACTTGGAAATGATATTATTGAAATAGCAAAGAAACAAGGAATTTCTACAGTAGTTGATGTTGGTTGTGGTAAAGGTTATTTAACTGAATACATAGTTTTAAACTCAAACCTTCGTGTTGTCGGAATTGAAGGTAATGCCGAATTCACTTCAAAAATGGAAGTTAGAGTTAGTACCATTGAACAAAAGAAGGCAAAAGGAAAAGAATTAGGTCGTGCAGAGGGATATACTGCATTCCTAACTGCTCAAACTACTCCAGAAGAGTTTAAATCAATAGCTAAATTAAAAGATGAAAAAGTAATGTTAACTGGACTTCATCCATGTGGAGATTTAACACCAACACTTATGAGATTTTTTAAAGCAATTCCACAAATTAAAACAGTTTGTATGGTTGGATGTTGTTATCATAAATTAACAGAAAACCCAAAATCATTATCAAGGCATTTTGGTTTTGACCAAAATGAAATTGCCAAAGAAGCAGATAAATATGGATTTCCAATGAGTCAATATTTACTTCAAGGTGAGCATAAAATTAAATTCCATTTGTCACAGTCTTATGTTAGTTCAAACTGTCATCCAGAATCTAAAACAAGAAATGAATGGTTATATGAAATGAGGATGCAATCTTATCGTGCTGCCTTAGAACTTTTTATTCATATCCATTTACCATCTTTTAATGAAATTCATTATACTGGAGCAATCCGTGAAAAATATTGTTCATCATTTGGTTATTATCTTGTAAAAGGATTACAAAACATTAGACGACATGCGTACACTTTTACTTTTAAAAACCCAAATTATAAAGATGTATTGATTCAATGGGTTGATGAATTTCTTAAAACACCTGATGCTATTCAACAATGCAATGAATGGTATAAGTCTATAGGAGCATGTAATGAAATTCTTTTCCAATGTATTCCATTCATTTTATTGCAAGCACGACTTTCTCAAGTTCTTGAAGGGTTTGTATGGACTGATAGAGTCTTATTTATGAAAGAGTTTTGTTCTTTTGTTAGTTGTCGGAGATTGTTTCATCCATTTATTTCACCACGAGGCATTTGTATAGTGGCACACAAATAATGATTTAATTGATTATTATTTTTATATTTACAAAAGAATAATTAGGGATTTATAGAATTGTTAAACAAACATAAAAAGAAAATAAATAAATTTAAACAAATTAATTATGTAATGAACAAGTGGTGTTGAAAAGGGGATGTAAAGATAATAATGTTGTATTATTTTGGTCTATATAAATACTTCTTTCTTCATTAAACGAATTAGCAAAAAAAGACATAGCATTTTTACCAAGAATAATCATTTCTTCAAAGTTGAGAATTGGTTTTTGTTCGAAAAATATTGTTTCAATTCGTTCAAATCTAAAAGTTTTCATTGTTTTTCTTGAGAGTTTAGAATTAAAAAAGTATGACTTTTCTAAGAGAATATCAAACAGGAAGTTATGGATAAACGTTCTTCGATTTTTTTCATATCTTCTAATAGCACTATCTCGTTTCATTCCTTTCTTCAAATTCAATTCGAAGGCTGGACGACATACATTTTCTGCTAATTCTCCTAAGTTAATTGTTTCATTTGGAAAAACAAGTGATTGAACTAACGGTAAAGTTGCAGTAACTATTGTTTGTTTTCTTGGATATTCAAGAACAAATCCACAATATGGAGATAATAATGTTAGAAGAGCAGTAACTTGGAAAGTTTCAATATCTTTCATTTGTCTTTTATTCTGCATATATTTAAGTTGAGCCTCTCTCGGAATAGGTATTTGAATTCGTTTTCTTTGTTGCATTAAATAGTAATTTGATGAATACTGAAATTAAGATGAATTGTTTAAATAATCAAATGAACGTTTAATAAAAAAAATCTTAAATTAGGATATCGTGAATTCTTTAAAGAAACTTAGTTATATAGATTCTGAAATTCATATCCGTCTTTAGAAATCTCATCGGTTTTTAAAAATACTTGAATACTATATTTAGTACTCATTTTTCGATGATAATCGTATTAATGTCATTTGCCGTATTTCTTGGTGCATATATAGATTTCTTATGTTTGATTAGTTCTTTTCATTTTTTTTCTTTTGTGAAGAACTTCTACTGGACTTTTTTTAATACAACCCCAAGTTTTTTTTTACCTTTTTTAGTCTTTTTTTGAAACGAGGCAAGTTACTATTTTGAGCTTAATCTTACTTGATTTGTTGGCTAGTTGGAGTTAATTTAGTAATCTGTATTAATCTTGAATATCCATTTTAAGGGTCTTTTATCTTCAATGCCCACTATTATTAGTCAAAAAAGATAAGTGAATCTTCTTTGCAGCCAAATTGTTTTACAAAACCTCTTAAAATTTTTTTGCGGTTGATGGAATTGTCGTGAAATTATTCCATTTTTGTGCTACACTCAAAATAACAGAACTAAAACACCATTTTAATTATCTCTATTAATATGTTATTTATAACGAAAAATTACTAATGAACTAAAAATCATCTAAAATTTAGGACGTTTAAAAACAATTAAACTGATTCTAGTTATTATTGTCAAACCAGCTAAAAGAAATGAAAATAATTGCAAAGTTAAAAAAAATATGCTTGAAACAATAATTTAAAATTACGAAAATTAATTAAATTCAACAACGAAGTTTTTGTTTTATTTTTATTTTAAATTTCTTATAATTTTCGACATTTTATTTAGAATAACATGTACTAAAATCTTCTCGGCATTAAGACAACAATCTTATTAGCACTTTCAAATGAAACAAAAAAGAAAAAAATAAACCAATAAAAAGTAGATAATAAATTGTTAATAGATTTATTTTCAATTGTTCATTGCTCAGGGGAGACTAATTCTGTCCCTTTGCTTTAAAATTGTTTGTTCAACAATTAGTAGCTTATTATTAACTTTTAGTTGTTGAATTCTGTGATTTTCTTTTCTTCTTTATTTATTCTAGAATAAAGTATTTCAGATATCTCTGACTTAAATATTCATTATTTAATTTTTTGTTTGGTTTTGATGAGTATTAAATTCTTCTTTATTTTTAAGGAGAATATATAATTACTACTGTATTACTATGGGCTAATATTCTTTTTAACATCAACTATTAACCCTTTTTCTTTGATATTCCTTTATTATTAAATACATTTGTATCCTAACTAACAATAATACTATCATTATAAATAATCATTCTTTTATTAACAATGATATTCCATTATCATAAATAATAAACATTAATATTCTTTGAATATTGAGTAAGATGTTTTTCTAACCAAATGCAATATCATAACCAGAATATAATTAGTGAATTTGAAGAATGTAAATGTTTTAGAGTTTTATTTAGTGTCTTTAATGTAGAATATTCAAATCAAACAATAAAGAAAATAAAACAGAATGAGAAAGAGAATAAAAAGAGAAAAAGTTAGTAAATATCATTTAAGATGGTAAGACAAGCCTTAGAATCGATGTCTTTATAGACGCCACAAGGTCTAGAATCGAACTTTTGAGCGATTTGAGGGAAGAATTCTTTTGATTTTTCCCATT